GCTGTGTCTATCAGAGGAAGGCTTTAAGTACAGAAAGGTGACACTTTAATCAGATTTATGTCTATTCTGTTGGCTGGAGGGAAGTATGTGCTCAGCAATTTCTTGCAAATCAGTTTGGAAAATATGCAAAATTCATGATGACTCATGTGATTGATTACTCCTCCCTCCCTGTTTTGATATCAACATAGAAACCTAAGTTTCTAAGACAGCATTAAAAATCAGTTTATTTTATAATATCCCCCAGTAATATAAGGTCTGTTTGTGTCTCTATCCTTTTTTCATTGAGTAAATGTACCCATTGTACGCCATGGGAGGAGTTTGGCAAAGGCAGACAAGCTCCTTCTGCATGAAACCTTTCATCTTACACCTTCACCGCCTTTTCAATTCAATTACCTGCTGATACTGTTAATATGTGAAAAGCAGGGTTGGAAGCTCCTTCATGAGCTGTGGGTAATGTGTATAGTGGCAACTGTTGTTGCTGAGAAATATGCAAATTTAATTCTGTAAGGTAGGGCTTATTAGGGATTTATTAATTTAAATTGTAAAGATGATTGATTTCTCTCATCTCTCCCATCCAGGTTCGAGATGCAGCAATAAACAGCCTTGTGGAAATTTACAGACATGTTGGTGAACGTGTAAGGGCTGATCTCAGTAAAAAAGGATTACCCCAGTCTCGGTAAGCTGAGAATGTCCTTAGGTCTTCACTATTTTGGGGCTCCTTTTTATTCCCTTCCTTCCTTCAGAAGACTTCAGGAGCCTCATGATTGAACCTTTTACCAGGATCATTGTTTTATTTTTTATTTTTTAATCTGATAAACACTTAGATTTACTTAAAGCAGATCCTGTACCTTTGCCCAAGTATGCCACAGCATCTTTGGAAAACCACAAAAATTATTGCAGATGGTTAGTTAACTGATATAAGGGAATTAATATTTTTCCTGTATGTTCTGCGTACATGGAGAGGAGACACTTCAGAGTAGCTTGTGTTTATGCAACTTAGACTGTCATAAACAACAAAAACCCCCACCAAAAAAAACCCAAAAATCAATTCTAAGATTTTATTTTAAAAAAAGCAGCCTTCTTGCCCTGCCCCCCTCCCCCCAAAAAGCAACCAAACCTATGTCAAAACCAAAGCCATGTCCCTCTGCTTCTGCTGTTTCAGGTGTGTTAGAAAGCTGCTCTGCATCTTGCTTCCAGTGCTCAGGGCAGAGCTTGGTTAGACCTGAGGATGGAGTAGATGGCAACTTGTCAGTGCTCAGAGGGAAGAGGTGGTTTTAGAGTTGGGGTACATGCAGGTGGAGGCAGAAGTGTTGCCTCTTGTTCTCCAGTGGGAACACAATTTGCCTTAAAGTAATAAACTCACTGGGAAGGAATGATGAGATGTGATAGGTGTCTTCTGCTCTGCTAAATCTGTGACATATATGGGAAGGTGTCAGGGCTAAAGACAAATGTTGTGTCAATTTTGTTGTATTTCTGCAAATAGTTAAGATGGACAAAATGGTGATGAACTGGAAGTGCATCTACAATTAGCCATATCACATCTTCAGTAATTAAGTATTTTCAATTATATCTCAGCTTTTCCTTTCAGCTGTTGTGTGTTGATGTTGGTTTTTTAAATGTTCAAATAACTTCCTTGCATTGAGAAATTTTCTGCTGACATTTTTGACAGTGCTCCCAATGACCTGAGTGGAGCCAAATCTGTTCTAAAATATCATAAGATGTTAGAATTTGGCTGCCCAGGGAAGTGGTGCAATCAGCATCCCTGGAAGTGTTCAAAAGCCATGTGGATTTAAGGACACGGTTTAGTGGTAAAGATGGTGGTGCTGGGTTAAAAGTTGAACTCGATGGTCTTAGAGGTCTTCTCCAACCTTAGTGATTTTATGATTCTAATATTCCTAAAATTTAAATTCACTTGTTCATCGTGTATTTCTTTAACTTTCAAACAGGTTGAATGTAATTTTTACGAAATTCGATGAGGTCCAAAAATCTGGAAACATGGTCCAGACTTCAGTGGGTGAGTAGAAG